TTTAACTTATCAAAGCTTTATGAGTTTTATCAAATTGATCTATTGCTTCATGAAGATTACATAAAAGTTTAGATTAAAAAAAAACATGTAACAAAAGTAAAAAAATATCAAGTCCTAATTTCACTGCGAGATGCATTTGCAAGTGAGTTTTGCCCTATAGTTTAAATATACGTAAATTTAATATACGTCTTCAATTAGAATGTACCAAATAAAGAAAAATCTGAAAGGTTTTAGATTTTTTTACAGTCACTCAAACAGGTTTTTAAGGTTTTTTAACACTCTCGTTGAGCTCGTAGTCTACCAGTCTGCCCTGCACTCCCTCTTACTAAACTTTTTTTTTTTTTTTTTTTTTTTTTGTCTTTTTAGCTTTGTTATCAAGCCCAGTTTTCTTTACACTTAAAAACTACAATTCACTAGAAAAACTACAAAAATGTTAAAAGCAGCAATACGTTTAGAATTCCAGGCACCTTTTTTCTTTTTTTAAAGGTGGCTTTACGCACCTTTTTTTGTCTGTTTAGTACTATCATTTTGTGTGCTTATTTATTAAATATCACGTTCTTGCAGCTTACGACTCAACATTAATTCATTAATGTAACTCTGTACTTCAACATTAATTAAAATCCGACTCAACAGCAAAATCACACAATATTTAAAAGCAGCATATCTTTAGAATTTCTGATAGACTGTCTAGTGCGCTGAGGGAGATAGAAATATTTTTTCCATGAACTGTTCCCACTGCTCGCTTTGTTGAGTTTGTTAATCAAAAATTCGTTAAAGTTTTAAAAAATAAGAAATAGATAATAAAAAAAATTAAAAATTCGGGCTTCCAGGTGCCTTTGTTTGGGTTTACGAAGTTTAGTGTACTTTTATACTGTTCGGGTTGCTGTAACGACAACTACGTTATTCAAAATGTGATGGCTCTAGGTAGCGCTGCTTTTTAACAACATGCATACATTCATGCAGATTTTTCATTATGTAATTTCTTTAAATATAGTACAGGGTGATAATATTTGGTGACAACAATTTAAAAAGATATACGAAGCAAAATGCCATGTTAAGACTAATATCCCATTCGAGATTAATGTTCGTTTTGGTTGGTTGGTGTTTTTTGGCACAAAACCCATGGGGTTTACGTTGCTCCAAACAAAATATCCTTTTTGGACTAAAAATGGATGCCTTTGGTCACAGTTTGTTTCTCTTTCAACAAAACATTTTTTAAAAAGTCAGCTGTCGCTATCTGAAAGAACGGCGTAACGAAAGTCTATCGTTAAAAGATTTTACTTGATTTCTCAGTAAAAAGTACATAAAAAGCTTATAAGAATAAATTGTAGTTAATCTTTAGAATTTTATTCGAGTACATAAAAAATTGCTAAAGGCAGGCATTTGACAGAAAGAGTTGGTTATCTTTTAGTTTGTTTCAGTTCATTATGGTAACACTGACTAGAACTATTTATTTTAAGGGGAGAAATTCCTTCGTTGAAGGCTTTTTAAGGAAAACTGGCTAGACGAAAATTGTAAAAACGACCAATACAGCCAAGTTGTTTGCCAGATATGAGCTCGATTCGAACTATCAGCGTTTCACTTTCATATGTACTTGGTCATTTGTGGGTCAGGTTTCTCTCAGAATATGAAAATGGAATAATCTAATTTTTATATAGTTATAAAAAATGGCTGACACTTGTACTAGTTGAACAGATCATATTTAATTAACAACAGATATCACCAGAAATCGTAAGCATAATATAAATCTCAGAGCTATTTACATAATTGTATCACCCACTCTGAATATTTCAAAGCACTTATGAAGTTAAATCACGCGAATGTCAATTAACTCTATATATATAACCAGTGAACGACTCTTTAATCACCTTTGCATAATTATAAACAAATATGCCTCTTTCCTCACAAATCGCCAAATTTCAAGACATGATCAGCTGTTTTCTTGCTTTAGCTACTCCTAACCGCCTATATGAAGTGTCAACACGACCTCTTAAATTTGTTTATTTTAATTTACTGCTCACATGATTATTTTTTGCCTTTGATGGTTATACGTTCAGACCCTGGGTAAGCCACCCTTCCAGTGAAATGAAATAAATTGGAATGGATTATTCTTTATGTAAATCTCAAAAGAAAATAAAGTTAAAGCGATTACTCGCGCGAATATCTGTAAATGACCTAGGGTAAAACTGGGTTTAGCCGTCACCATAGAAATGTTTTTTAAATTGATATGAATTTAAGATTTTTATGCAAATAATTTAATTTTATTACTTCTTTTGTATGTATTAAGGTCCTCAATCTGTATGCTCCTTAAATAAAATTCATAAAACAATCGTGTGATGAAGAAAAAATGTATTTTTAGTGTATTTAACAAGTAAAAACGATTTTATCTACATTAAACATGCATAAAACATCAACATCTAATTTTTATCTTCGAGAATCACGTAACTATCATTCCACAACTTTAATCACACGTAAATATAAGCTTTTCAATTTATAAATTATTCTTAATTTTAATTATAAATCATTCATTATTCATATTACGTTAGCTAGGTTATCCTTAGACAGCTTTGGATTCTATTTGCAACAGCTGTTAATTTTAAAATTTCTGAACTTTATTACTTATGGCTAATTTATAAGTAATTCATCTAGGGTTATTAATTAAAATGAATTCGTAATAGTACTAATTCCAATTTGATTGAAATATGATTTTTCATTGCATGAAGTAAATTGGTTTTTTATTCTTTTTTCAGATTTTCATGAAGGAATAAAAGCTATTATTAGTTTTTCCAAAAATAAAAGACTATGGAAGACGTAATAAAGTACTTCAGAGTTAAAAATACATCACAACTTCATTTGAAAGTTTTCTTTTTGCCATTTTTAATCACAGTGCTGATTAGCGAATATTCTACATGATTATGTAAAAATAAGTGCTACTGTTTATAATTGATATTTAGATAACGAGGGTCGAGGGTCCCATTTCTTTTGGATTAATTACGCTAGCTGTATCACTTAATTAACTGATTACGTTAGCTTCGTCACTTAGCTTCCACATGAATGAAAAAAATATGCGTTTCTTGCATGATTGGAAAGAAGCATATTGCAACGCATCATATGGTGTTAAAAAAATGAATTTAAAACTCTATAAGTAAAAGATGCAGATAACTAGATTTTTGATTTACACAAATACTAAATCTAAAACATTTCTGAAAAGACCTTATATGGGAATGCGCAGAGAAAACCATTATACTGTCCTAATTCCACTATGATTGTAATTAAATCAGAGAAATAGGCAGGTTGAGTAAAATATTTTTGTTCCCACTACCATGCATTACAAAAAATAGCCACTTTTACTTGCAAAATGTTCTGTGAAGTTCTAACGTAATCCTTAAGACAGGTAATAGTCGAAATGAATCATATGCTTTTTTCTGAATAGATCACAGGCTTTAATAAGGAATACTAATCAATTCAGAAAATTGATGGATTTCATCTCTAGATTTATAGGTCATACATAAATGTGCAATTTAGAATTCAAAAGTAAACTGGCTAGATGTAATATTTCACTTTATGATTAAAAAATTGAAATGAAAGACAATTAAATAGCCAAAATCTTATAAGAAGTTGAATGATGTGGTTCTCAAATTACGCAAACACGTAAGAAAACTAATTAAGATGCAATAACACGCCGAATAAATATTAATTTAGAAGTCAAACAACAAAAATCAGCGTTATATTTTCAAATTTTCAGAGGACTAGTTTCGATGAATTTACCGAACCATCATCCTCAGCAGCAAAATGGATCCATTTGCGCTTTTGCAGCTGAGGATGATGGTTCCGAAAAACCATCGAAACTAGTCCTGTGAAAATTTGAAAATATAACGCTGATTTTTGTTGTTTGACTTCTAAATTAATATTAAGTAAGAAAATTGCTTTAACTTTTCTATTTTCTGAAATAGCAATATAATAACAATAGCGCAATAATGCAAATATAATTAGTAGTAATAAAATGAAAGCACTTGCACATTAAATAATGTTTTAGAATAGGGATACCTAAAAATTAATTTAAAAATGAATAATCCCCCCACTATGTTGTTATACATTTAAATTTTTATTACATTAAGAGTAGAACATTGAAATAAAATGCAAATGGAAAAGCCAAAATTTGATTCGAAATTAAACGATATGTTTCTTAAATTAAGTAAACAAGAAAAACACTTCTTCAGCTTTCTATTTTGTGAAATAACAATGTGATAATAATAGAGTAATAATACAAATGTATTTAGTAGTAATAAAATGAAAGAAATTTCGCATTAAATAACATTTCAGGATAGGAATACTGAAATTTAAAATAAGAATGAATTAAACTCCATTATGTTGACTTGCTTCAACATTTTATTACTATCCTAAATTTTTCCATTCTGTAATGGTTCTGCATTATAATTAAACCCAGTCGTTTCAAAATTATGCATATGAATACAGTCCTAGGAGACCTAGTCCAGGAAACTAGTAATGCAAGTTTATGAGTATTACCCCTGATTCATGTTGCTGTAAAACCACCAATTATTTTGAGGATTATTTTGTGTGTGTGTATTGTTTATAAAGTACTAGATATAATCATAAAATTTTGCTATTAATGTCAATAAAAGTTTCTGGCATGCCCGCAAAAATTTAAAACCAATCTCTCCCACGATCTAATCAAAAATTCATCACATAGCTTATAAACCCATAATTTCGATGCTTTAGTTAATTTCAATATCACGTCATGAAATAGTTCCAAAAATATGAATTTTAATTTGTTAATTTAATAAAAACATACGATGGCTGCTTTTTCTTTGTTGGTGTTACATTTTTAATTTTAGACATTATTAAATTTAAAAGATGTTTTCTGTCCAAACAAAATGAAAACTTTACAGCACTAGTTGAAAGTACTATCTTAATATACAATACGTTATTTTAGTATTTAATGATACGTTTAAAGTAAAATGATTTATTTCTGGTTATAGGTGGTTCATTCGGGAAAATCAGTCTGATGAAACGGTTGACTATCCCAGTTCAACAGAGGCATTTGATAGGTATTATTCAAATGGATTACCTGCTGTTGGACCTGTAGCTACTCCTTTACCGGATGAAGCATTTATGATCCCAACATCTAGTAGAAACCAAATGCCTGATGCACCATCATCTACAGGAAATAGTGACATATGGGTTCTGACCAAAGGATCTGATAATCAATATCTACCTCAAAGGCTGGTGCAAGTACCACTACCAACTGAAAGAGTGGTTGAAGTGATTAACCAAGAAACGAGCCCTAAATTTGTATCAGAATCAGTAAAATCAATTCCTTTTATTCCTTCATCTCTGTCTTCTCAGAAAAATCAGTTTCCCCCTCCACCACCTGCTAATGTTGTTCAAGAAATTTGGATTCAATCCCCAAATAAAATTCAAATTCAGAATCAGAAAACGGCAGCAGTAATAGATGAGCTACCTTCCATCAAACAAACCATAGATACTCAACAACCTGTTAAACAAACTTTAAGTGTTCCACAAACTGTTAAACAAATAGTAGACATTCCTCAACCTATTAAGCAAACTGTAGATGTTCCACAGACGTTTAAGCAAATTGTGCAGCCTCAAATAACCAAAGATATGTATCAGTCTCCGCCACCACCTCCACTTCCTGTATTATCCAAAACAGCTGCACCTCTTCCACTTCCTTCATCCTTTAAAACTTCAGACATCACAAGCCCAAAGCAAATAATAGCTCCTGCAACAGCAGGTGATGTTATTCCTGATGATGCCAAGTACATACTTGGAAAGAATGCAGTTGTATCTCAAGTAAAACACATATGGATACCAACATCTCCGCAAACTGGAAAGTTTATAACAGTTCCTGTCTCAGGGAGTCCAGCTCTCGAGAACTCAGGATCAATGAAAGGTATACCGGTTGACATTGCCTCGCCTGTTGATGTGTCTGAGACATGGATCTTGAAGCAAGATGGTCTTATTCCAAGATTTGAGCCTCAAACGTCAGCCTTGCCAGCTGCTGTTGCTCCAAGTGGAAAAGTTTTAATTGATCAAACTCCAACAGTCGTTCAAACTGATTCACTAAAGAATGTACAGCTAGTTGGAAAAAGCATAACTGATAGTATTCCAGTTAATATGTGGCCAGTATCAAAAGGCATTTCTGATCAAACGATTATCGGTAAATCTGAGACTCCGTTACCGCCACCTCCAGGTATTTCACAAAAATCGGATACGATAATAGTTGATAAAGGTCTTCCTGTACCTCCCATCTTTCCTCCGAAAACCTACATTAATAACGAAAATCTTTTACCAACTCCTAACCTACCACCTCTTCCTCCACTTCCACTTATTAGAAAAGTGATGAACGATAAACCATGTCCTCTTAATCCCCAAATTTCGTCTTTCCCATTAAAAGGAATAGCTGCTCCTGTAGTTTCAAAGACATTACCCGTTGTAAAATCACAACCAATTATGCGCATAATTAGAATAAACAATTATCCTTATGGATCATATGTTTTAAATTCCCAAATTAAGCCGAACGCATACGGATACTCTAGACCTGCCACGATATTGCTTCGGCAAACGAATAACGGTTTTATTCGTTTAATACCTGCAAATCCTTCTTCTACTCCAGTTGCGATTAGAAGGCGAATTATCCCAATACAGGGTTCAAAATCGCCAGCTTCAATAATCTATCCACCAGCGCAAGTCGTCAGCAGATTAAGATATAACTATCCTATAAGTGGATATGTAAGATCTTTCCCAGTCCCAGGTAAGAATGTTTTCCCGCCGCCTCAGGCAATTTTCCCGAAAGCAGGATCAATTCTATCAGCTTCGTCAGGATCGAGGTCCTCTTCTGAGAGCTCATCCTCGGAATCTTCAGAAGCGAAAGAAGCCAAAAGAACTAAATCAAAAGGTGCCAAATCAGCAGAAGCAGAAGGAAAAAAGGTTGAGGAAGCAGAGTCTATAGAGACTGAAGAACCTGCAGCTGGCAGTAGCAGTTCCGAAACAAAACCACAAAAGGATAGTTCATCTGTCGAGAAAGAATCAGAAAGAGAGACAGAGGAAGAAGTACCAGCTGAAACACAATCAGCAGAAAGTATAGAAGTTGCTGAAAGTCAATTTATTTCGTATTACGAAAAGCATCCAGAAGGTGAAATTACAGACGAAAGTAAATTAAAATTATTGCCTCAGAAATATACTTTAGATTATGATCAGCGCGATAGCGTGCTTTTCAAAATCGTAAAGAAGACTCTGATGGTAATGATAAAATTATTTCCAACTATAGTTATGGAGACATTAATCGTTTCTTTCGAAAGATAGAATATGATGTAAGTGATCAATATAAACCGGAAACTGAAAATAATGAACCTGATATAGTGAGTCACAAGACTGTTAGCATAGCAAATACTGTGATAGATAACTCAAGTGCAGAAACAAACGCTAGCACAACACCTCCTTTCAAAGAGAATTTAACAGAGGATGCACAGCGTGACTAATTATACGGCATGTAATTTGGAAGTTATAAAATAAATCTTTTCTGAGAAAAAGTCAAAAATTCAATTGAATGCAGATTTGCAAAGGGATTTCATCCTTATATTTATACCAACTTCAAAGCAAATTTTTCTTTCTTACAGTTTATTTGAATAACATAGTTTGCTATTAAACGTTTCGACAAATTTACATATTTTTGCTCAGACATGCAATCTTTTTTATTCAAACATTATTTTTAATGAACATGAATTACTGTAAAACTTACATATTTTTATTAAGCTCTTTTTACACTGCCAAAATATTTTACTAGAGTTTTAAAATGTCCATAAACGCTTTATTTTGCATACGTTTGTGAGAAAACAAATCGAAAATGCAAATGTATTTTGGAGAAATCTATGCAGTTATGTGTTTTTATACATGCTTATTACAAATGAATTGTTTATATTTTTATGTATGAAGAAAATAAAGAATTGTTACTTATTTTAAAGTCTATATTTTTAGATAACGAATGAATTATATACTATATTTCTTGACACAGTGTTATATGTAGTTAGTAAATGTAATAACAGTTATTCAACGGGAGTTTAAATGAAATATTATGCTGTTTAAATTTTTAACCCAGCAGTGTAATATTCAGAAACTTTACATGATTTAAGACAAACAGAAAAACTAGAGTTATTTGTTTCATATGAAAGGATTTTTTTTTAAATTAAGTATTATGATTTGGATAGATTAATTTCAAGTACTTGTGGTAGTCAAAGAAATAATTTTATTATTTGAATATAAAAGAGAATTTACGTATCTAAAACGAAATTGCACAGTTATTTATTTTATGTGGAAAAAGCAATTTTCATGATTAGATTAATTTAATGCAAATAAAATAATTTCATTTACCTGTATAGTCAGAGAAATAATTTTATTATTTGAACACAAAAGAAAATTTACTTCAAAAATACAAAATAACATTTTAAAGTCAAATATTTGTTTATTTGTCAAATTTGGAGTTTTACCATGTTTAACGAATTTTCAAATATATTTTAGTTTGATTAATGAAGCAACGGCTTTGGAATGAAGAAATAATTTTAAACACGGAATTTTAATGCTTCAACACTAAATACATAATAACGAGCAAAACATTATGAACACGGAAGTACAGTAATCTGTTTTACTCATGATAAAATAAAATCGTCCATGTATTTTATTATTCGTTTGTACTGTTTCAGCTTTTATGATCAGTATAGAGTTTAATGTTATGTAGATTGCAAAATGCGTGTAATTCATATTGCATCACCTGATTTCTTTCATTTCGATTAATTTAAAAATCAAATAATATCATGTAAAACATTAAGATATTAAAGTTTAATATCATTTTCTTAACTAAGATTTTCAAGTTTTTTAGTGTCGCATTAAATATTTTTAGAAAGTAACTTTGCAATTTCTTTTAAAAGTGCATATCCGTATTTCCAATTACACTCTTGAGTAATGATTATTTATGTAATACAAACTGTTAAACGCAGAAAGAGAAAGTACGTTAAGAATGTAATGCCATTATTGGTTCAAACCAAGATAATGAATGCAAACATAATGGACAACATAACGCGTATTAATATACCAGCTGTTGTAGGAAACAAAGAACGATTGAGACATAACGCGTCAAAGACATTACGCATATATTACGTTGTTAGCAGTTTATAGATAGTTAAGGAAGAATAATATACTTCTTTAGTTTCTAATACTGATTTCTTTACATATATTATGGCAATTTGAGGAAATTTATTTCTATTTGGAGTCTAAAATTCCCCATTACTAATCAGTCAAACAGTTTTAGCATTAAAGTAGTATATATTAACACAAATGTTTTCTGAATTACCAAAATAAAAGTTCTTTGTTTTCTTCATTCTTAACTTATATACACGTGTTGAAATACGAAGTATCAAATACACAATAATGATACTATATACGCGCTCCTTCTGCATAGAAGAGTTCGATTAAAATTGATAAAACCAACTAAAGCAAATTATGTAAAGCCAGATTAAAATTTTCTCTCATAACATAGATTAGGATAAAATGTGGTCAACAATACTATTTTCCATAACATTTAGATATTTAAAAAAGCACGAAAAATTACCTTTATATGTTTTGATAACCAATACAGTTTTCCATCTTTGTCAAAGATATTGTATAAAGAACAATCCACAATATATAATATGTGTTTTTATCATTAGAAAACTTAAAAATAGTTACATTTCTAAGGACTCGAAGGAATGATGCAATACGATAGATAAAAGAAATAATAAAAATATATAATTTTTACAACGTTCAAACTTAGCATATCGTTCAAACATATACTTTGCTATTCGAAAGATTAAGACTACATATTTCTTTTATAAATTTTAATCCTTAAACGCTTAGGGAGCGTTTCACTTAAAGTACTTAAAAGATATTTCATTTCATTTAGTTGGATATTTAAAGAGCGAAATTTACAACTTAGATTTATATATATATATCATTACTTTAAAATTAAATTCATTATTAAATTTGTGTCTAGAAATATTTAAATTTAAAGCTTCTAATAATTGAGCACTTTAAAATGAATTTATATTTGAATTAATTTTAAGAGGTAGTATGGAACTATAAAAATCTTGGTAATTTGAATTTCGCACTGCATGTATATTAAATAAAATATCTTTTAAACAGTTCCTTGACAAATACCTATATATAGAACTTCTTTAATTAATTATATTATATGTTACCAGTATCGAAGTTCCACAGAAAATATCATTAAATTTAGTCATGAATGTTACTTGCTTTCGAACAAACAGTTTAATAGTAGGTTAAGATATACTACAGAGATTTTGAATATTCAGCTGAATATTATATGTTACAGATGCTAATTTTATGTTTGCTCACTGAGGGTAAGATATTCAAAATGGAAATTAAAGTGTGATGTGTTCATTAATCTGGATTGGCTTGAAGGCAATCTGTAGCTCGATTAACATGTATCTGAATATATGTTTATATAATTTTATGCATACTTGCAATGATAAATATGTTTCTAACACATTGAAATACATTATTTAGCATAATACAGAAAATTTCGATCGAAAAATTTAAAAAACTGAACTAATTTTTCAATTTTGACTCAAAACGAAATTTAATTCAAATCTACACTTATTTCGGTATCATTCTAAACAAACTAAATCGTATCTTACACACTATGCACTTAATAATACGATAAATAGTTTTCAGTACAAGGGTTAAACAATACTTTCTTAAAGTTTCCTTTGAAATTTAAATATATTGTTACATCATGAGATTGGAAGAAATTATGTTTCACTAACAATTGAATATAAACTTCTGTAGATACTAGATATAATATACAAGAAAAATTCTGTAGCATTTCTGATATAAACTTTAAATTTAAAATTAGTTTCCTTTTAAATGAATTCAAATTTGGCAGCAATTCATATGGCGGTTTCATCCACATAGCATTCATAACATTCACATAGCATTTTCTGAAATGCTCAGTAAAATACTTTGCTTATACACTTTTTGAAGATGAATTGTTTTTCACCTCTTTCGCGTATTTCAACATTTGGATTATAACTGGTCGTGGGGGAATTTCAGACAAAACGACGACGTCTGCGCTGTTATGAGTGATAGTGCCCGGCTCATTTGTTTTTACCACAGCATGAAATCCACTTTTATCAGCAACATAACTGACATTTCTGTAAATTCCCATGGCATCTCTATAACCATAACTGCCATTAATCACTCCAGCGGAGTTGGAATTTTCATTTCTATGTTGTAATGTTCCATTTCCATCAAGTTGTTTGAAATCAAAGTGGTAAGGCTTAGGATGAATCTTCAGCTTTCTCAGAACTTCTATCTTATTCTCGGAAATAGGGTACAGTTTTTTGGAGATCAACTCAAGAACTTCGTTTTCAATCGCTTCGTAATTGGTATCTAATCTATCAAGTAATCTCGGCTGAATAATTCCTGAACTTACTAATTTTGATGGCGTACTCATGTGGCTATTTACATTAGACAAATATGGATCTTTTACTGATGCTGCTGTAGAGAATTTTGATTGAAGCTGTTTTTCAGATAATGCTTTATTACTACTTTTATCTACATTAACAGAAGTACTTTCAATAGACGACTTTCTTTTATTTAAATTTGAAGCTGATTTTCCTGAACTATCATGTGTTTCAGTTTTATTACCAACAGCGATTTGGGTAATGGCAGTTATGTTAGAATTTTGTGCTGAGCTTAGATTTAAAAGCTGAAGTATTTCAATAATTTCTAAATCTGTAAAATATGCTGAACTATTTTCTTGACGTTTTACATCAGTTTTATTAGAACTGATGCTTTGCAGTGCATCTGCTTCGGATAAAACATAAGGTAAAGGTCTCAATCGTTCTTTGTTTCCTACAACAGCTGGTATATTACCATGATACTCTGAAGGTGTAAACTGTGGAACATCAATTAATACTACCTCATTGATAGTTACACCATTACCGCCTTCGTGAATTAGTCTATAATTTTGGCCATTATTATGTATAATTGCAGGCTCACTTTCAGCGTCTTTCTGAGAAATTTCAACCTGTCCGAAATCTGTGATATTATTTGGTAAAGCTGATTCTAAATTCAAAGAAGATAAAATTCCTAGTTTCTCGATGATTTCTATATCCTCTCTTGTTAAAATTTCTCCCACTTCCTCTACATGGGTGCTAGTTGGTGGAAGATCATCTAAAGAAATTTCATAAATTATTCCATCCCCATTTACTTGAAATATTTCTGGAATATTACATGTAGCTGGACCTACATTTGAAAACGAAACATCCGGTTCATTTGGTTGTAATACACTTATATTATCACTAGAAATATTTTTCACATTTTCAGCTACCTGTTTGGAAGAACGGAAGTCTTGATGGGGCACTTCAGTACTCAGTCCTGTTATCTTCGATCTTCCGATTCCATCAGACTCAGGGATTGGAAGACGAGATGAAACATTCTGTGTTGGCAATATAGCTGCTACTGATTCAACAGTCTGACTGCTAAATTGAAGCTTATCCAAATTAATCGGGGTTGGCTTTACAGCGATAATCTTTCTTCTACTTGCAGATAACTGCTCCATAAGCCGTGGTCTAGGTTTCTCCCACACACCTGCTGTCACTTCTCTCGGAAGCTCAACAAGAATAGCTTCTGCATTTGGCCTGAAGTACAAATTTCCAGGTTGAGATCTATGTGCAGCCTCGGCCAGTATTTTGTCGTAAGCCAATTCACCGGGATTCTGGCTTGACCCATTCGAACTCCTAGGAGTAGGAAAGTTGGTAACTTGAAATTCATGTTTATCAGCAGTCTCTAATGCTTCAATAATTCGAATTCCAGTCGTATGATTTTCAGCAGGCCAATGTCGATTCAAATACACTGGTACAGGATCATCTCTCGTAAATAACCACAGATCAGACTGAGATG